TTTGCCAACCGACACAATCTTATTTCAAAAATGAATATAAGAATCCAATGTAAAACACAATGTTGAAATGAAAAATGTACATCCTATATCGGCTCCTTGCATGACTTCCGATTGTGGCTCCCCCAGCTTATCACATCTCCCGCACCTTATTTGCTTAATTTTCTCACCCCTTGATGGGATCCTATTCTTTTTCGGCCTTCCGGGTGGTCTTTTCACAGTTGGCGGGTATATAGTGAAGTCCGTGGAATCAAAAGGCGGCTTCTCCACCAATGGTATAGGGAATATGGCACCCGAATAGACTGCACGACATGTCTCTACATGAAAGTAATGTTCCACACAATCATTGAGATTGTAGCGGCACTTCTGAATGGCAAAAACAACATGGTCACATGGGAATTCACAGATGTGAACATTCACATCAGTAATATCACTCACCATTAGCAGATGTGAACATTTACATCATTCACATCACTCACATTAACAGATGTGAACATTCACATCATTCACATCACTCACCATTAGCACATGTGAACATTCACATCACTCACATTAACAGATGTGAACATTCACATCAGTAATATCACTCACCATTAGCAGATGTGAACATTTACATCATTCACATCACTCACATTAACAGATGTGAACATTCACATCATTCACATCACTCACCATTAGCACATGTGAACATTCACATCACTCACATTAACAGATGTGAACATTCACATCAGTAATATCACTCACCATTAGCAGATGTGAACATTTACATCATTCACATCACTCACATTAACAGATGTGAACATTCACATCATTCACATCACTCACCATTAGCACATGTGAACATTCACATCACTCACATTAACAGATGTGAACATTCACATCAGTAATATCACTCACCATTAGCAGATGTGAACATTTACATCATTCACATCACTCACATTAACAGATGTGAACATTCACATCATTCACATCACTCACCATTAGCACATGTGAACATTCACATCACTCACATTAACAGATGTGAACATTCACATCAGTAATATCACTCACCATTAGCAGATGTGAACATTTACATCATTCACATCACTCACATTAACAGATGTGAACATTCACATCATTCACATCACTCACCATTAGCACATGTGAACATTCACATCACTCACATTAACAGATGTGAACATTCACATCATTCACACCACTAATCATTGACAGATGTGAACATTCACATCAGTAACATCACTCACCATTAGCAGATGTGAACATTCACATCATTCACATCACTCACCATTAGCACATGTGAACATTCACATCACTCACATTAACAGATGTGAACATTCACATCAGTAATATCACTCACCATTAGCAGATGTGAACATTCATATCATTCACATCGAACATTGATATAAATACTAGGTACATCATTGTACACCCTTTGTGTGTAGAAAATCATGCAAGAGTACCCCCCTACAGGAGAAACAAACTGATTGATGTACATATCAAGGAGTATCAAGGCCAGAGATTCTTAATCTTCCCAATACACGACAACTTCCACTGGACAATTGTTGTGTACGACGTGACAGAGAATGTATGGAGGCATTATAACTCGTTGCGCCTAAGAGAAGGCATACATGGCCCACATATTGACAAAGCACAAATAGTGGTAAGTGGCTGACACATATAATACTTGTATGATGTGTAATATTGGAACTTGGACGTATGCACTGTGCTGGTTGGTGCCTAATATGAAATTTCATTGTTGGCAGAGGGATTACATAGAGGCCTTGGTGCGTGACATTGGACCATCATCACCATTATGGACCAAATTATCAAGCCAAAATACTTCACAAACAATCATATCAGTAGACATCTGTCCTCAACAAGCATCAAATTCGTAAGCCTAAAATCAATTTGTACACATGTTCCACAACCATTACCCATCTAATTTTCAAAATCTAACAAGAGTTTTGCATTTTCAAGGTGGATTGTGGACCTGCAGTTTGTTACATCATGAGGGCGCATGTATACCGTAAAGACATTGTTACAAGCCTAGATCGCTTTGAATGGTGTCAAATAAGAGACTCATTAGTACACCTTTTTCTAAACCACAAAAAAACAGTGCAATGTGAAAACCTGTAGGTGGGGGGTGTCCACCTATCACTGTTACCCAAATCTGTTATCCACATTGAAGACAATTTAATGTCAATAGGTTTTACACATTGGAGCATATTAGCTTAATTGTAAATCAAGTCCATAGAACTGCTTGTACAGATATTTTTCAGTCAATATATGTATATGCATTTTCAAGCCTATTTTGCGTTGGTCATGCACATTGAGATTGTTTTTTTTTTTTTTTGACACATGACATGATGTGAATGTTCACATCACAGAATGATCGTACACTTTCTTATGTTTTAAACCATACTACATGGATATGAATATTGCTTAAAGTGTTCGTGTAACACAATATGACAGGTGTGAATATGATATTTCTTAACACAAATCAATATTCACATCTATTAATTTGATGATGTGAATATTTACATCACAGCTTTTGATTATTTAAATGGCAGCAACGATGTCATGAATATTCACATCTTATGAGTTGATGATGTGAATGGTTACATTGATGTAAACATTCATGTCATCTACTTTGATGCTGTTAACAGTAACAAGAAAGTAAACATTCACACCACAGAAATGTTTAAAATTTTAACCCATGTGCAATTATTCACATAATGTGATTATATTACACAAGTGTGAAAGTTAACATCATGCATTCATCCAAAACACAACAACATAAATGTTAGATTGGTACCTTAAAAAATTAAAAACAAAACACAAATTAAATACTAATGCATTGTTATGTTTGCCAACACAACGTAATTTTATTGCAACACAATCTTTGCCAACCGACACAATCTTATTTCAAAAATGAATACAAAAATCCAATGTAAAACACAATGTTGAAATGAAAAATGTACATCCTATATTAGTTCCGTGCATGATTTTTGATTATGGCTCCACAACTTATCACATCTCCCACACCTTATTTGCTTCAGTTTCTCGCCCCTTGATGGGATCCTATTCTTTTTCGACCTTCCGGGTGGTCTTTTCACAGTTGGCGGGTATATAGTGAAGTCCGTAGGATCAAAAGGCGGCTTCTCCACCGATGGTATAGGGAATATGGCATCCGAATAGGCTGCACGATATGTCTCTACATGAAAGTAATGTTCCACACAATCATTGAGATTGTAGCGGCTCTTCTGAATGGCAATAACAGCATGGTCACATAGGAATCCGTTGATTTGCTATTTGAAGCAAGAACATGTATGCCTCGTAACATCAACAGTAACAGATGGTACCGAATGAACTTCAAACACATCGTCATTGGCTTTGCTAACTTAGCAAGACCTGCTGTCATTGAACGAATCCATAAGCCTTGTTTCGAATGTAGGACAAATAAGCTCATTCCATTTGTTTGCTTGGTCACGCCGTGCAGACATTTGCCGCATCAACTGAGTACGAATTGTGTCCACCATTTGAGTGATAGGAAGATTACGTGCTTCTTTAATCCAGTTATTAAATGACTCTGCCGCATTGGATGTCATCTCCCCATAACGCATGCCCCTGCACAATATCACAAATATTGTACAATACGAAATTTAACAGGTCTGAACATTCACGTTGACAGATGTGAACATTAACATCATTCCCAGTGAACATTATATGCTTATTATGTTGTCAACTTAAATGATAGACAGATGTGAATGTTAACAACAACAAAATATGACAGGTGTCAACATTCAAATCTATAATACATTGCATGACTGTTTGACAAATTAACAGATGTGAACATTCACATCATTCACACCAGTCATCTTTAGCAAATGTGAACATTCACATCATTTACATTGAACATGAAACACAATTAGAAGATTATTACCATTCTAAACTGAAAATTCACATCGCTACCATTATAAACTTCACAAATGGAACACCTTAGGAAACTATTATTACCTGAAGTACGAATTTGCCCAGTGCTCAGGTGCCAAGTCCTTAAAAAAATTATGAGCTCGTTGTTTACCCTCCTCTTTTAATTTTGCAAGCTTTTCATGGAACCCTACCACAGTTGGCTCGTAAGCACAGTCACCCAAACTACTTACTAGGTGGTCCCTGAATCCATTATCAATTCCTTTCATCCGGTCTCTTAAATTGTTGTTCAAGTGTTGTAAGAAATAACTGTGATGAGCCGATGGGAACACCTTTGGCATAACTTCTAACAGACCAAGATTACGATCCGAAATAAAAGTAATCTGGCACTTACCATCAACAACCTTCCCAAGTTCATGCAAGAACCACGACCAATTGGCTGTGGTCTCTGAATCAACAATCGCAAATGCAACAGGAAACAGACCTACAACACAACACCAATACACAACTATTCACAATATTCCAAAGTGAATAGAAAACAGTATAAACAAAACAGGTCATGTGAATGTTTATATCTACATTGCCCTATTACTATTGTTATTTTTTTATTCGGGTTCGTAAACATCAACGATGTGAACATGCACATTAACGACCATTAATAATTCATTGTTGATTGTTGAGTTATTGATAATGTGAACATTCACAATAATGTTCATTAATGGATCAACTGACATCAGTATAGTATACATTGATGTGAACATTCATATCAGCGTATACTAATGTAAATGTTCACATTACTGTCATTAGTAGACACATATGTGAACATTCACATCAGTGCATACTAATGTCAATGTTCACATTACTTATAATTTCTCAATCACTCATTTGTCAAGACTATGATGTAGAGAATGAATATCGACATGAATAGACAGCTAAAAAAAATACTAACCATTGTTCCCATCTTTCGCCGTTGCCGCAAGTAGCTAACCTTTGTACTTTCCTTTGAGGAATGTTCCATCCAGAAATAATAAAGGCCGACAAGAATTGAATCCAGAAATACACGCAGCGAATGACACAAAGAAACGACAAAACTGTTGACTACTCGCATCATAGTCAATATTGACGTAACTCCCCGGATTGTACCGCATCACAACATCCGAATACCACTGCAGCTGGTCAAACGATAATAAGTGATCTCCATGAATACCAGCATTTGCTTTCTCCACACCCAACCATACGACATGGTAACTCACATCTAGCCCATAATCCCTCTTCAAAATAGTCACCACCTCACACGGCCAAGTCAACGGCTTGTCCCTCACAATTTCAGATATGGTACTCGACACCAAATCCGAACTAACTCGCGAATTCTTTAATGTTCAGACATCCGTACCACAACTATGTACATCACTAAACCTCTTGATGTAGAAAAAACCATTTGCTCGTTGTGCTCTACAATGTATAGCCCACAAGCAGCCTCTCTTCTCACACATCGCACACACAGCAGTAACTCTTGTTGTCTCGTTCTTAACATACGTAAACTGAAACCCACATTGGATGGCATACTTACATAAAACCTCACGAAATTCTTGTGCACCTCCAACAAACCGTTGTCCCACATGCGTAATACCATTTGCCCAAGGGGCTGACAACAACACCTTCTCCTTATGGTGGCAAAATCTCGGTAGTGCATCAATTTCATCCTCAACCCCCACACGCAGCAATCCCAAACTACTTGACTGACCAATATCACCCTTCAACTCAACCACAACTTCTACATGTTGTACCCCCATTGATTTAGCAAGCAGTAACATGTTCTGAAATTCTTCCTCATTGTCCAAATCACACCTATTAATCACAGGTAGTTTAGAAGCAGCCAAAAACATTAACCCTAACCAACAAGTTCAAAGTCTGGAGCAAGATGTCCAAACAAGACAAGCAAAAAGTCCAAGCTTTACAAAAGAGTGGAGGCGATGAGTAAGTGGCTGTACAAACACCTCATGTTAACATTCACATTCCACATTTGTCAATATTCATCATTGTGCTTATTTGTTTTGGTTTGTTCAGATCTGTGC